CCCTGGCCCGCGGGCACTTCCGGGACCGCTCTAGGCCGCGTGGAGGTCCCCGCGTCTCGGTGCTCCTGCGGCGCCTGGTGTCCGCGCGCGTAGCCGCTCCCGCTCGCGGCGCCAGGACAGGGACTGGGCACCGGGCCTTTCCCAAAGCAAATCCTGGTCGTGGGCAACACATCTGGTCAGCCGTTGGCGGGAGTAAGGAAGAGGCAACTGAGGCTGGGAAGGGCGGGCGGGCCTAGAGCCGCAGGCAGGCGGCCGAGTTCCTGCGGCACTTGCCCTGTGGGTGGGGGCGAGCCAGTGGCCGCGGGGGGTGGGGTCTTCAGGAGAAGGGAAGGGGTTCCCAGAGCTGTGGAGCCCGTCACCCCGCACAGGCCCAGAGGTCCTGCATGATTCACCCTTCCTGGGTAGCCTCGGTCCTGCCTGCCCAGCTGGTATCAGCAGAAACTGAGATGAGAAGGGGCCGAGTGAGGGCCCAGGAGACTGCTGGGAGTGTAGGCTGGACCCTGGAGACCCCCAACTCCAGTGCATGTGAGGGATGACCTCGAGACATAAGGAACCGGGAAGGAAGAAGAGTGTGTTCTTGAGCCCCGCCCCCCCAACCCAGACGCTCGGCTCTGCTTCTAATAAGGATTGCTCTTCCACTCAGTGCTCCCCACTCGGCGCAGCTGCTCAGGTACAACCTTCCCTGCCTGTGGGAGAACTGGTGGGGGAGGGGGCACAGCCCTATCACGGGACCAGTAGAACACACATTCCTAACTGGAGAGATGCTGCCCACCTGAGCCGACCCGGCCTCGCTCCGCGGCGGAGTACCCTCCATCTAAGCCCTGGGGTGCCTCTGAGTGCCCCCACACCACATACATACTCACACCTGCCTTCCTGCCCCATCAAGGAGTAAGCAGGAGCTCCCCTCGGCCCCCAAGCTAGCAGCCTGGGCTCCATGAGGACCCTGTCCAGTCACCCCTTGAGCGTTGAACCACAACCAACCATGCAGAGCTAGGAGCAGCAAGAGCTGGTTCCTTTTTCTCTTCCTCCAGCTCCTCAGGTCACAGGAAGCCCAGGCCACCAGTCTAAGCCCCCTGGGGGCCAGTAGAGAGGCTGGGCCCTACCCCAAGGGTCTCAGGTGCTTCCTCTTCTGTAACAATCCCCAGAATCCCTACCCCCTCACTCCCAGTCACTTTTTCAGCAGGAATTTCATGGCCCTCCGCATAGTTATTGTTCACATGTTTGATATTATTTTTTACAGATTTAATATTATTAACCCATTTTACAGAGGAGCAAAATCAAGTTTTGAAGAAAGAGGGGGGCCCAAGGTCAGAGTGCAGAAATGAGAGGCAGACGAGAGGCACTCATCCCACACTCCACCCCTAGGATGTGTAACCCACAGAGCAGTAATAATCTGCGTCGTCCTCAGGCTGCACGGGGCTGATGGTCAGGATGCAGGCATTGTGGGCGGCGTCTGTGGCTGCCGAGAAGCGGTCAGGGATGTCAGGCGGCCGGTGGTAGTTGTCCTCTGAGCGGTAGTAGAGGAGATATCGGGGGGCACTGCCTGCCCGTTGCTGATACCAAGACACGCCGTACTCCCCAACAGTGGCATGGCGGGGGCTGAGCATGCAGGAGAGTTGGGCCACCTGGCCTGGAAAGACCAGCAGTGCATCCGGCTGGGCCAAGCCTGGCTGAGAGACTGAGAGAGAGAAAGAGAGAGACCCATGGGCTCCTTTCTTCCTGTCCCCACCCCACGAAGGCTTGATCAGATTCCAAGGAGACTCTGACTCCCGAAAGCCTCATAGCCCAGTGCCTTGGAACTGAGAGGGATGGGGAACAAAGATGGCAACCCCTAAGTCCTCATTTGTTTTATGTTCGCAAGAATCTGTGTTCAGTTGAGCACCTAGAGTTCAGAGTATGGGGACTGGTGGCCTCTGGGTCCTTCTCTGCCCACCCCCGTTCCTTACCCTTCAGTCACACTGGCTCTTTCAGACTCTGGCTACCACCACCAGGAAGCCTCCTGGGCTGTCCCACCCATCAGCTCAACCTCAGACAACTGGCTGCTGAGAATCTTCTCAAGGAGAGTTTGTCCCTGAAGCCCTTGGGATAGCTTCCCATGTGAAAAACTAAAAAGGTGACTGACCACTTCCAATCTCTTCGGAGTCCCCAAAGAATCAGAACCTGAAGGGATCCTAACGATCTGGTCATTCACAAATGAGGAAACTGAGGCCCACACAGAGAAGTGACTTGCCCCAGGTCTAGGGCAGAGCCAGCTGTAGCCAGTTCTCCCCTTCACCTTAATGCCCCTTCTAGAACCCTCCCACTGCCCACATTGATTTGCTTCCTTGCAGGGGCCTTCTGGAGCCAGTGCCATCCCCCACCCCACCCCAGGTGAGCCAGGCCTAGGGGGAGCTCACCGGACAGGAGGGCCCCAGTCAGAAGGAGGGCCAGATGCCAGCAGGCCATGGCTAGAGGCAGGGAGGCAGACAGGAGTTGTTCTGTTGGGAGTGCTCCAGGTGCTTCAGAGCACAGGCAGGGGAAGCCCCTGGACCATGACAAGGCATGCAAATCAACCCATTGACTAGGGGTGGCGGCATGGGGGTATAGTGGCTGGGGCCCAACAGCTGGGCCCTATCTTCCCAAATGTCGGGATCCTGGCCCCACAGGGCCGTCTGAGAACAGGAGTCCAGAAATCCACACATACACATGCAGTTATAGCAGGTAGATGCTTTTTTATTGAGGTGTAACTCACGTAGGATAAGGTGCATAGATTTTAAGTGTATGGCTTAATGATTTTATTTATATGGAGATATATATATATATCTCCACCCCCGCAACCTCTACCCAGATGACGATTTAGAATGTTTCCATCTCCCCAGAAGGCTCCCTCATGTGCCATCCCCATCAGTAACAGGCTCTCTAACCCCAAGGGTAACCATCATTCTGACTTCAATCACTTAGATCAATTTTGCTTGCTCTAGAACACCAACTCTAAGTGGAATGACAGTGTGTTCCTTTTGCTCCTGCTTCTTCTGTTCAACATTAGGAGAGTCATCCGTATGTGTGCAGCAATGTCTAATTCATTCTCGTAGTTACATGTGGCTAAACCGCAGCGTATCCACAGCTTCTCCATTCTCCTGTTAATACACATCTGGGTGCTTTCCAGCCTTTAACCATTACAAATAAAACTGCTGTGAACATCCCTGTCAGTGTCTTTGGTGCACCTGTGTTCTCATTTCTTCCGGTAGACACCCAGGACTGGAGTTGCTGGGCGGAGGGAAAATGTACATTTAGCTTTAGTGGATACTACCAGTGTCCCATGGTTGTACCGATCTGCACTGCCACCAGCAGGTAGGAGAGGTCCAGAGATATCCTCGCCAACACTTGACATGGTCAGTCCCTTTAATCTGCCAGACGGGTGGAGGAGCTGACTTCCCAAGTTGGGGTTCAGACTTGACTCTCAGATCCTCCTCTTCTTAACTGCACAACTTCAGCCGAGTTCCTTCCTTCCCCTCTCTGGAAAATGAACATGAGCATAGTGCCAGCCCGAGGGGTGTGAAGAAGTAGGTGGGATTTATTTGCTCAGTGCCAGGCACAGTGCGTGTATTGATCATGCCTTGCATTTTCTGTATTTTGATGCTTTGACATCTGGGGCCTTGCTGACCTTGGAGGGACTGACCCTCCCAGGGCTACCCAGTTCCTAGAGATAGTAAATAACTCACCCGAGCGGGTATTTATCAAATGCAAACCAATCCAGAGCCCACATCCCCAACCACCTCCTCTATGGCTCTCATACTCTGGGCCACTGTACTCCTGCCTTAGTCACCCAGGGCCAGGTACCTGACAGCCAGGGACAGCCCCGATGCCCCAGAGTCCTGGAATTATTCAAACTAGCCACTCTGGAGCCTGCTCGCTCTGCCTCACCTGTTCTTTCCCTCAGAAACCATAAGGCTCCCTCTCGCCCTCTGCCTGCTGACCTACCGGGTGCTTCCCCACGTGTCCCTCTGTGGTGCGGCACACCCCATCCCCTAGAGAACACCCCATCCCCTAGAGATCTGCGGGGAACAAACTGTCTTCTCAATGGCAATCTCCTGGTCTGCTGGCCTTAGCATACCTAAATAATAATAAAAGTAATTAAAACGGTGCGTTCTCATTAACTCAAAGCCTTGAGAGTTCCCTTGGGGGAGGTTATAAAGCCCCCCTCCAACGGGTCCCATTCTGTTTCTAACATCTCCTTAGGGCATCTCCAAAACACTCAAGATCAAAGACTCTGTTAAGGCAGCAGTGAAAATGAACCCTTGGGACAACAGTGATGGTTGTTGGAGTTGAGGCTCCAGGGCTCGGCATGGACATTCTTCTGGAATATGGTTGCAGCCCCTCCTGAGCTGTGCTCTGCAGGACACAGGGCCCCAGTGACAGTGGTGTCCTGGGAAGAAAGTGTCCTGTGTTTAAATAAATCTGCGAAACACTGCTTGTTTGCACAGTGCTGATTCTGAGCGCTTCCTGCATCCTGAGCACCAAGGTAGCACTTTAAAGTGTTACCACGTTTAAGGGGCACCTGGCTGGCTCAGTTGGGAGAGCATGCAGCTCTTAATCTCAGGGTTCAAACCCCACACTGGGTGTGGAGTTTACTTAAAAAGAAAGAGAGAGAGAGAAAGAAAAAAAGAAAGAAAGTTACCACATTTAATCCTCACAAGGACTCTGCTGAGCCGTGTTCTTACCACCCCCCCACCCCCCCCACCCCCCGCTTTCTACAGGGGGAAGCACTGAGCTGAGTGCTTATCCAGAGGCAGAGTGTGATGCTTGGCAAGCTGCGCGGAGGATTCAGTCCTCCTCCTGAGTCAGTGGCCCAGAGGGCAGGACAAATAGCCTAATCACCGTGGTGGTGGTGGTGGGTGGGGGGAGGTTTGCATTTCCAAAACCTTGGGGAAAGGGAGCTGGCAAAGGTAGGGAGCCTGATCCAGACACCTACCTGGCACCCTGGCTTAAGGGTTCTGGTAGGGGCTCATGGACAGGGGGTACAGGAGACAGAAACTGAGAGAGACAGAGGGGGTGCTAGGGGGAGGAAAGAAAGGAGATGATGAAGAGAGAAAGGGAGAGAGAAAATCAAAGAAAGGATGGGCATGGATGGAGAGGCAGAGAAACACAATATCCTGTCTGCCAATGTCTATATGGCTTTGTTCATAATTGCAAAAAACTGGAAACAATCCAAACAATAGCAGGTGAGTGGATCAACAAACTGGCACATCCAGACAATGGGACCCTCCTCAGCAGTAAGAAGGAATGAGCTATTGAGTGAATCTCATACTAAGTGAGAGAAACCAGACTCAAAAGGCTCCATGCTCTATGATTCCCTTTATATGATTCTGGAAAAGGCAGGGGCAGAACACAGAGCCGTGGTGGCCAGGGACTGGCATGGACTACAAAGGGGCATAAAGGAATTCTGGGGGGTGAGGGAGATGATCTGCTTCCCAACTGTGGTGGTGGCTCTATGAGATTTGTCAAAACTCGAAAACACGAAAAAGGGTGAATTTTACTGTATGTAAATCATACCTCAAGAAACTTGCCCAAACAAGGACAGAGGAAAGAGAGGGGAGGCTGGAGGTCAGGAGGAAGGCAGAGAGGGAGAGGAAAGACAGCACAGGGAAGAGGGCCTTAGTAGGTAGGGAACTGCAAGGGTGGTAAGAACCCCTGCTTCCGCCATGGCCACAGCCCTACCAGCTCATAGTGGGGGTTTTCCCAGGGCCAGGGGCCCCGATCCAGGAATCTCCCCCCTTTCAGCCTGGGAGCTCTGTCTCTACTGGTGGGGGGATGTGGTCTTGGGCCATCCCTGGACCACAAGGCTTGAGCCCCCACTGTAGCCCTGCCTTAGGGAGTGCCCATACTCCCGCCCCAGATCCTGTTACCAGGATACTGCAGGGGAAGGCATTTCCTGCCTAGATGACTTGGCAGCTCCCACTGCCATGGAGACCAGCTTGGAAGCTGGGAGGGCCTCAGTCTCCTCGGGCTGCTCTGATCCACAGGCAGGAGGAAGAGGAAGCCAAAGGGACCCCTCTACACCGGTGGGGTCCAGCCCCAAGGGTAGCCAAGCAAGGACCTAAGCCCGGATCCACCCACCCATTCCCACACACATACACATTTCCTGGCAGTGCCATCCCTCCCTGAATAGATCTCAGCCGTAGATCCTTCCTTAGTTGGAAAGTCGGGGGTTGGGGGATCAAAGCCCCCACATCTGTCTCCTCTCCCCTGCAGCCATGTTTATCAAAGTGATGTTTGGAGGTAAGTGGGGTCCCCTGTCCCTCAGATGGGTAGGGGGGTGGTACATTCAGAAGCTTGCTTCCCTCTGCCCTGGGGAGATTGGGGAGGCAGTGTGGGGAAGGGGGATGCACTTGCATAAGAGGATGGGGGTGGTTAGGGAAACAGCTCTATGAAGAAGCAGACAGAATGCTTGGAATCCCTTGAGGGGCAACCCCGATGGCTGGGTCCTGGGAAGTTCCCACGGGCTCCTCTAGAAGAGCACCCACCACATCACCATGGGGTGTGTTTTTAAATTACACAATCTCTTAATTCGGTCAGTGGTCCTCAAGCTTCAGGGTACATCAGGCGCAGATTTCCTGACTTCCGGTGGCAGGTGGGCCCGGGATGGGAGGTGGGGGTTCCAGTGCTGGAGGGAGGTCTTGTGCAGAGGCAGCGTTGGAGTGGGAGGGGGGCATCCAGTGCAGGAGGCAAGAGCTGTGTGCCCTGGTCACCAGCATCTCAAGAGATGGATGGAGGAGTGTACAGTCTTAATCCTGGAGTCCTATTCCCTGCTCTGGTTAGAGAAGAGATGGGAGACAGATGGTCCCAGATCAGGGGGAAGCAGAGGGTACCATTTGCTCACCTCTGCCCTGCCCCTACAGCTGGCTGCTGGGAGCTGGTGAACACTTGGTGCAGCCCGGTGACCCTCACCGCCCACTTGAGGCAGAGGGGGCAGGTGCCCCCAGATGGTGAGGGGGCAGGGAGGGGTGCTGGGGAGGAGGGGCCGAGGGCCCTCCAGGCAGAGGTGCCAGCCCTGCCTTGCCTCCCTCTCTGCCTTCCCAGCGGTCATTGCCCTCCTGGCTGAGGATGGGCACTTTGTGAGTCTGGATGAGGGACTGGAGGAAGGGGCTTCCCAGGCCCCTTCCATGGGCAGTGCCCTGCTGCAGGAGCGTGGGACCTATGTCCTCGTGCAGATCATCAGTAAGTGGGGCCCAAGATTTCCCCCTGGAGTTATGCTGGAATGTGAAAGGGGGGCAGCAGTTCCAGAGACCACCCAAGGCCCTGGCCAGCACCCCCTACTTTGGCCAGGACCTAGCCCCTGACCCTTCCCATCCAATGCCTTGTTGGCCCCAGCCAGGACCAGCAAACAGGTCCAGAGTGAGAGGTGGGGGTGGGGACCAGCAGGACAGTCAGGAATTGGTCTTCCTCCCTCCACAGAGGGGGAGGGTGGGGCCCCCACCCGCTATGAGTCCCTCCTGGAGAACCTGGATGACCAGTATCCAGAGCTAGCAGGTGAGTGTCACGGTTGAGCCCCAGGGGGAGGGTGCACCTTCTCCCCAGCACCCATAGGTAGGGCTTCCTGGGCCTTCCAGAGGAGCTTCGCTACCTGTCAGGCCTACATCCCATGAGTGATGGCCGGAAGAAGCGCACAAGCACTCGGCGTGGCCACCAGGAGCAAGGCCCCTCTTCAAGGCCACGAAGGATGGGCTCCCTGCCATCCAGGATCCGCTAGCTGGGGCCAGAAGCCAGCCAGGTAAGGAGGAGACATGGATACCTGGGGGGATGCTCACACCTAAAAGTCCCAGGGGACAGGCTTATGTGTGCTGATACACCACAAACACCACCCCCACACCCTGCAAACACATATACACATAAATACCCACAAGGTGGAACACACTGCATGAAGAGACATCCCCACCACTCCACTAGACGGTAAGTAACCAAGGGCAGGGACGTCCTCAGTGCCCTGGAGATATCGAATAGAGCCTGGCACACAGTAGGTGCTCAATGCAGAGCTGATGAACTCAATGAAGGCAGCAGCCCAGAGCACGTGATAGTGAGGTCTGCCTTGGGTTTGAAGGGCCTGCTTGTCTATTCTGGCAGGTCCTGTGATCTGGCACATCACAGCCAAGTGGCTGAGCTGGACTCTGATCCAAGGGGGTTGGCTGTGACCTCTGCCGTGTGTGATCAGGCCCAAACAGCAGCCCAGGGGCATTCTTCTTGCAGAATCTGGACTTACTGAGAAGTTGCATCAGCCCGAGGGGCAAGGTCACAGACCGGATGTGAGGCCACCAAGGGGGGCCCCCCAAGATGTGGGTGCAGACAAAGGGATCCAGAGGCAGAGACACGGAGGGTGAAGGAGGAAGCATCCCTGAGAGCAGGAGGCAACAAACAGGCTCGTCCTGGGATTCCAGTTCCCAGAGTCAGATGCCTTTGGGGTCCCTACTAATGCCTCACTCCTAACTGGACTGTCCAAGGTCATCAGATTACGACAGGGCTCCTCCCCCTCCCCCACCCAGATGTCAGCTTAAGGTGAAGCAATTGCACCTCACAGTTGGGACATTCATCCGTGCTCCTTGACCCCACCCCAGCAGACAGGCTAGTGAGAGGGCACACAGCAGGCTATGGTCTAAAATAAACTCTTTTAATTGCACATTTGCGTCTCCGGTCATCTGTGGGGTAAGAAACCTCCTCCTCACTCCCAATCCCAGCTACATGGGTACAATCTGATGTCATGGTCCGGCTGTCGGTGAAGGGGTGAAGGTGGGTGCAGGGCTGGCTCACGGATCTGCACCAGTCCGCACCTGTCTCTTCAGGGCAGGGAGCTCAGACCTGCGGAGAGAGGAGTGGCACAGGCTGGTGGTCAGCCTGCAGGTGCAGGATGAGGGACTGTCCCTCCCACTCCTGCCTGGGTCAGGGGCTGCTCACTCACCGTGGTTGTACTTGCACTGCTTCAGGGCCTCGCTGAAGCCCTCACACAGGGACAGGTCACTCTGAGAGGTGGAGCAGTCCAGGAACTGCTTGATCTCGTAGGCGCAGGGCCCCATCTGCAGGGGCTGGGGGCCAGTGCGGGTGGGAGCCTGGCGTATGTTAGAGGACGCAGCAATGTCAGCTCCAGGTTGGCACCCGAAAGTGGGCTCCAAAGCTGGGGGCTGCCGGCCGCTCCCCACACCCCCAGCCCAGGTGCCCCTGGGATCCCTGGCAGGCTGACTGACTCAGACTGGCCTGCCCTGTCTAGCCCCAGCTGCTCCATCTGTGAAACAGAAGAAGCCCACAGCCCTGTCAAACCCACTCAGCTTATGCTAGTGCCGGTATGGACAGCATTTCCCAATTGCCTCATAATGGGCTCGCTGAGCAAGTAGGGCCTGAGGGAGGGAAAAGACTCTAGAAAAGCAAGGTGCTGTGGTTGTACTCTTGGGGTATAAGCCCCACCTCCACAAGTACTAGCAGCTTCCAGGCTCAGCCACAGCGATCCTCATGATCCCTGACCCTGCCACTAAGCCGCATTTGGCTCAGGACTGGTGGGGTGCCCAGTAGGGGAGAGGTGAGCAGGAAGTGGGCTCAGAGCTGCTGGCTACCCCCTTGCCCTTGGGATGCAGGGACTGTAGGGCAGAACCTGGGAATGGGACGAACAGGGCCTCAGAACTTCAACATCTCTCCCCTCCACTAGGGTTAGGTTACCTTGGGCCAGTCTCTGAACCGCTAAGGGCTTTGGTTTCCCCATTTTTAAAGGTCTGCTTGGTCCCTGGGAGTCTAGGGACCTTGGCCTCAGGAAAGGGGCTAGGAGAGCCTGCCTGTGAGTGACAGGAGGCCAAAAGCAGAGTGAGGAATAAGAGTCCTGGGCCTGAGGCAACTCTGAACACGCCAGGGCACTTCTCGCTGGACATTCCAGTAGCACCCTACTACATGACCCTTGTGGGAAGTCGGCCTCAGTTTCTCCTGAGCCCGCTGCTCACCTGCTGAGCGGCAGGCTGGGCGGGCTCTGAGCTCCCCCCGCTGAAGGCTCCGGTCAGGGCGCTACCCACGACGTGTCCCACAGCCGAGCCCACGGCCACCCCAGCGGCCGTGGACGCCATCTGCGCCATCAAGCCGGGCTGGCCCGACGGGGCCGGGGCCGCTGCAGCCGCCGAGGGCGGCGGGTGCGCGGGCGGGTGAACAGTGCGGCTGCGGGGTGGGGGGGGAAGTAGGGTTAATCCCGGCCGGACCCCTGAACTGGGGCCCCAGGGGCCTGCAGCTCCCGGACACGAACCCCGTCCTCCTCCTCCCTCCCAAGGGTGGGCGACCACAGTCCTAGACACGTGGTTGCGGCACCCCCCCCTCCCCCCACCAAGATGGCGCAGCAGCCGCCAAGGTCAAGCTGTCGCGCCCTTGCGGAGGAGCGCCCGCGCTTCCCTAGCCGCCCCCCCCGCCCCTGTCCCGCTCACACCTGGCTGGCCGGGCGGCGGCGCTTCGGCTCCCCCGGGGCATGGTTGTGGCGGTGAGACTCGGCCAAGCGCAGGCGGAGACGGCGACAGTAGCAGCGGTTCTGTCTCGGGGACGAATGGGGCACCGCTAAACACCGCCGGCGCGAGGGGGCGGGGCCTAGGGGACACGCCTCCAGAGGGAGTCCCTGGGCGTCCGGCAGCCCTCACCTTCACCTCCGGGACCCGTCCCTTACAGCATCACCTCGTCTCAGCGCCCTTCTTAGCTGGCAGTGTTACCCTGCGCCCTCCCCGCGCCTGGCCCCAGCTGTGTGGGCCCTGGGGACACGGACCAATGCTGCAAAGTGCCGAGGGCTTACGCCGGGGCGTTGGGCCAAGTCCCTTCAAAAACCACCGCGGGGCGCAGGGAGCGGATTTGGTTTGCTGTCCGAGCGCCAGGGCAGAAATAGACAGGGAGGCGACCGATTGAAGCCAGCAAGGGAGGGGCACGAGGCGCCAGGCCAGGCTCTGGTCCCCCTCCTACGGACTGGGTTTACCGACTACGACTTGGCCTCAGGGTCGCGGGCCGGGGGTGGGGGAGTGTGGAGGAATAGAGCTGGGAAGAAATACCCAGAGGAAGGCCTGGCGCGACCCGTACCCAGAACCCCCGCCAGGGGGCGTCCGGAGCCTCTGTTCGACTCCATCCCGGTTCAAAGGCGCTGCAACCCCGGGAAGCCTTGCGCAGCACCCTCCTGGGGTGGGATGAACCCCTCCTCCCCATGCGGCCCAGCACCCCGCCTGACACCCTACCCCGCAAAACGGATGCAGCGCCGGACAATGACAGCGTTTACGGGACATACAAGCAGCATGCCCATTCCAAAGGTGCCCAGAGGCGTTTGCTCAGGTTTGAATCCTGTGGCCTCGCAATTTTACCACCTTGGTTCCAGGCCAAGGGAAGGGCGGAGGCATGGATTTAGGACGCTTCCCAACCCTTCAGGAACTTGAGGTTTATGTTTTTTTCTGAGTGATTTCTCGGTGACCGTATCATTACCCTTGGGCTGGGAGGAGCTCTGATTTCTTTACCCTCCCCTATCACCGTCCCGCGTGCGGGGGGGTTGGTGGGGGGAGGGAGGGTTTGTGGCACCAGGATTGTAGGGAGGATGAAATCACCCCAAGCAAAAGTGAGTCACTTTAAAGAAACAGATTGCTAACACTGCAGGGTCTTGTGTCTCCTCTCCTGGCCCTCTAGGAGTCTCTGTGGAGCCTTCCTGGAGAGGCTATGAGGACTCCCTGGACTGGGACCTGGAGGGAAGAGCTGAGTGGGTCTGATTGCCCTCCTGTCCCTCTTGGACTCCTTCCCTTATTCGGCCCAGGCTGGGTGCCCACAGCCTCACCTTGCAGCTTCTCAGGACCCTGCCTGGCAGGATGGGAGCCACTACCTGGATCTGGGCTCTACACGGTTGCCCATGATGGAGCAGACTGCCCTGGTGAAGTGATGAGGCCCCAGGTCATGAGAGTGGAGGATCCCTTCCAGAATATGGACACCACCCTCTCCTTTGATTTTTACCTCCTCTCTCTCAGTTCTCAGGAGGCTGGCCCCGAGGGCCCCTGTGGAGCACGTTAGTCTCTTGGGCAGCCGGTGCGTCCCCCCCACCTGCCACAGCCTGCTGATAGCACCTTCCCTCCCAACCCCCTCCACTTGCCGGCTGGTCTGGGAAAGACTGATCTGGTCCCTTCCTCTTGGGCCCTCAGTTTTCCCATTTATAAATTGTCTGTAGTTCTCTTCTAGGCTGGGGGGCTGGCCAGCCTCCTCGTTATGCCTCAATTTCCCTTGGGACACATCCCTTGTCTCAGCTATTGTACCAGCTGAGGCTGTAAGGGGTAGGAGAACTTGCCCATGGGAACAACCACCTGTCAAAGGCTAGCAGTAGGTCAGAGGTCAGGCCATCAGGGAGACCAGCTAGGGAAAGCCTTCCAAAGGTGGGAGTAGGGACCAGGAGGGGTGAAACCCAACTTCTCCAAGACTCCCCAAAGCACAGCGGGAAACTGAGGCACGGAGGAGCAGCAGCTAGCCTGGGTCACCCTGCACCAGGCCTCAGAGACGTCAGGCTCCGCCGGACCCCGGGAAGGACTGGGTCTCGGCCCCCGGCCCCAGCCGTGCCAGCCCCTCCCCGTCCACCTCCCCCACCCTGGCCGTGGCCACCGCGGGGAGAGTTTAGAACAAAAGGCGCGAGGGGCGGGACCGGGGCGGGCCAGGGGCGGGGCGGAGGCTATAAGGGGCGGTGGCCCGGCGCGGCCCAGCAGGCCCAGCAGCCCCGGGGCGGATGGCTCGGGCCGCCCGGCTCCGCGGCGCGGTCCTGCGCGCCCTCCTGCTCCCACTGGCGCTGTTGCTGCTCCCGCCGCCGCCGCTGCTGGCCTGGGCCCCGCGGCCCCCGGTGAGTGCCCGCCGCCGGTCGACCGCTCCTCGCCGAGGGGGTGTCGGGCACGCGGGCTGGGCCCAGTGGCCGAGCTGGACCCACGGGGGCGCCCGGGGTGGCCTGGAGTGGTCCGTTCCCCGAAACGCTTTCTGGGTCCCTGTGGACGTGAAAGATAGTGAGCTTCCCGTCCCCGGAGGTGTGTAAGTGGAGCCTGCGCCTGGATCGCTCAGGCTGGTGAGGCGGGACTCCGCGCTAGACGCACGCCCCCTCCCAGCGTGGGGACCTGCTCCTCGGCGTCCCAGCTGCAGATG